GAATCGTCAAAGAAGATGACTCAGAAATAGTACTAGTGAACTAGAAAGAAGAAGTACTAGAAAAAGTGAAAAACTACTTCAAAAAGCAATTTAGCAAAAGAAACACCTATGCTTCAGACATGCCAACTAGATAGAAAAAAGTATATAACCTACTAGAAACAGTAGATAGTAAAATATTAATAGCTTAGAGGATGAGATCTCTGAAGAGGAATGGTTAAAGGCACTTAAAAAGACAAAGTCTAAGTCTGCATTAGACCCATCCAGTATAAGCTATCTACTATTAAAAAAAGCAGGTACAATAGCACAAAAAGTATTTAGACATCTTGCTAATCTATGTATCAGAGAAGGAGAAATCCCAGCTAAATGGAAGCTTAGCCAACTCTACTCAATACCTAAAGGAGAAGATTGGAATTATAATCTGTCTAACACTCATCCAATTGTTTTAATAGAAACTTTTCGCAAAACAGTAGTGAGAGTCCTAACATACAGACTAGACAAAACTCTAGTAGACTTCAATGTCTTGGAAGGCCCTAATTATGCTGAGCTTTCAGGTGATAGTACAATGAGCCCTATTCATATAATAAACAATCTGCTTGAAGATACAAGACAAAAAAATAACGAGCTATGGATTCTATTCCAAAATATGCGAAAAGTATTTGATTCTGTAGGTTTAGAAATGCTAGAGAAAGCCTTAAAAAGAATCAAGCTTCTAGAAAATACAACTAACTTCATATTAAGCTTGTACAAGAAAAGGAGAATCAAAGTGATTTTAAGCTTTGGTCTAACAAGTAAATTTGAAGCTAAAGACAGATTTGACCAAGGAGAAGTAATCTTATCCTTAGTCTGGCGTATCTTTTATGACCCACTTCTATATACAGTAAATAGTACAAAAGACATGAGATATCAGATAGCAACAAACTGGCTAACAGACATAGCTCATAACAAAACTAAAAGAAAAGTATACCAACAAGCTGTACTTGCTTATGCAGATGATACAACTTGAATAGCAAGATCCAAAGATGAGCTACAGAAAATAGTAAATATTTCAAATGAGTTCTATAAGATAAATGATATTGAAATAAACAGTAAAAAGTCAGAGCTAATAGTTGTGAATGCCAAGAAAAAAGAGAAGGAAAATGAGATACTAGCAATTAAAGTAGGAAAAAAACAAGACCAAGTCCTTGCAAAAAAAGATAAAGATATAGTAAGACACTTAGGAGTATGGATCTTAGGAAAAGGAAAACAACATTATACCCTAAATATTATAAAGAATGAAGTGAGCAAGATATGCAAAGCCATAAGGTGAAAAAAAGTATCAGCAAGCCAACTCATATACTTAAACAACAGTGTCTTGCTACCTAGTATAGGATACAGATTACAAACAATATTTATAAGCAAATTGAAATACGAAAACTTACAAAGACCAATTTGAACTTTAATTAAAAACAAACTTGAGTTAGCTAAGTCAATAGCAAACTCAATCTGTAGCCATATAGGTTTTCTGGGCATAAGATCAATCTAGCAAAACCAGCTTGCACATCACTTTACAGAGCTTACTCTATGTCTCAACTAACAAGGTTCTCTAGAAGTAACAACAAGACTAAGAGTTAAAGAAGGTCAACTACAAGGCAAATATTTATGCAGCCTCCTAAGCAAGGACTGTAAGTTTAATAAGCTAGTTCCTACAAATAATTTGGCTATAAAAGTATTACACGAAGCAGCTAAACTAAACATAAAGATTAATAAGATCTTGGAAGACTCTGATGCTCTCAATGTTAAAGGAACAGAAATTTCAAGCTTACTAGATACAAAAGAACTCCACACCTTCTTAAACCTAGACAAAATAAACCTTTTCATACTAGAACAGCTCATAAATAGTACAGAAAGTTACTTGCTAACCTAGGATCAACTAAAGTATATAAGAGGTAGAAAAACAAAAGGCTATATTCCAAGCTGGTTTAAAAAACTTGAAGAGAGGATACTAAAAGAAAACAGCTTCAGAGAAGTACAAGACCTCTACAAAGTAAAGAGCCTTAATAGAGAAGCAATAAAAACTCAACCACAAGTTATTTCTAAAGATAGACGGAAAAAAGAATGAGTGCTTTTCAAAAGAAAAGGAGACTTTCATATAGGAAAAATAGCAAGAAAAACAGAGAAGCTTGTAATAGTTGAGCACTGGAGACAATTAAGCTATCTAGCAGAGGACTATTCATTTGACAAGTGTAACTATTGCAATATAGAAAGCACTGGTAATAATAAGTATCTAGTCAGTATCGAAGGATCTCAGGTAGTCAAAGTAAAGAAAAAAAAAGTAATACTGAGAGTACTACTATTAGCACTTATCGAAAATAAAGAATCTTGTACAAATCATAAGACAAACCAAGAGGTATTAGTAAAAATAACAGCAAATAGCCTCAAAGGTGCAATTATACAAAGAGTAGTAAAAAACAAAAGGATAAAAAGAGAGCTAGTAGATGCGTATGAGAAACTAAAAGAGAAGAAGATCATTAGATATTATACAGATAGTGAGTTAGCAGGAAATAGTAAAGAGGGAAGATTAGGTAGAATAGGAGTTGGTTGGTTAGTCAGAAGTAAGGAGGAGATAGATAGTAGTATTAGTTTTAGTTGTAGTATAAAAAACTGGCTTTTATCAACTTGTGCAGAATTAGAAGCTATATAGATAGCTTTGCTATTAGTATCGTGTGGAGCTCAAATACATATATTCACTGATAGCAAAGCAGCAATAGAAGCTATTGAAAAGTGTATAGGTAACAACAAGCTAAGAAGTTGGTTTAAAATGAAAAACAGAAGTTTACTGAGACAGATAAAAGACTGCTGCATAGCAAAAATTTTAAATCTATTATTATACAAAGTCAAAGGTCATAGCGATAACAAATGAAATGAGCAAGCAGATTACTTAGCTAAAGAAGGTACTAGGAGAACTGATATACTTAAAGTACCAGAGACAACACTAAGTAATATTTGAACTATCCCAAAATGGAAAGACTAATTAATAGACTGCTCGCTTAGGTCATTTATAAATATAACAACTACAATAACATATGAAATAGAATGGGCTGAACTAAGTAAGACAGCAGATATTATAGCCCTGAATCAAGGAGACAACTCCAGCAAAGAACCAATTTGAAAAAATACTTGGAAAATACTAAAGAAACGATAAGGGAAAAAGTATATTAGTTTAAAGAAAAGCAGAGACCTAATGTTTCGCATAAAATGCATTAGTGATATTCTACTAATAAAAGATATCTGCTACTTGAGAAACCCCAAACTATATAAGAGCAGAAAATGTATAGTCTACTTAAGGAAGGATGAAACCTTGTATCATTTAGCAGAATATGAAATCTACCAAAAAATATGGAAGAACCTAGAAGAGGAAACTCTATACCTAACAAGTCTCGAGATGTTAACAAAGTTAAATCTATCACTTGAGGATGATGCATTAAGAAAGGCACTCTATGGTGAAGACCTAGAAGAGAAGATGCATTTCAGAAAGATGCATTTTAGAGGCCTCACAAATAAGAAGCAATATGCAGATATATGCAAAATAGCATAGTACAAAAGCAAGGCAAACAAAGTATTAATGAGTTTTATTGAACAATTCTGGTCTTGTTTTTAGGAATGACTATGGAAGTTCAGGTGTGAAGTAATAGTTGAATAGGAAAAAAAAAATAACATCATAACCAAAGAAAAAAGAAAGAAAAAGACAAGAAAAAAAGAAAAGGTAAATAAAGAGAACATACCTTTCTTAAATAAAACAAAAGAATCTAAGAAGGAGAAAGAAACAAGAATTCAAAAAGAAGCTTCTGTTAGAGTTGATAGATAGATAAAGTCAGGTGGTAAGGAAGGATAGTTAAGGTTCAAAACAAATTAAGTGATTTTGATATAGGCTGGTAGCAGCCTCTCATTGACTAAGAGCTAGAAATTTGTATATACAAATTCAAACTCTTATAAGAGAAATAGTTGCTGTGACAGATCGCACTTAGGTACTAAAAAGTAACTGAGTGAGTTTTGATTAGTTTTAGGAAGGTAGTTTGCTATAAATAGTATAGCATTTTACTTGTAGCTTAGATTAGCTTATTCTTAATAAAATGACGGGCAAGATTGCCTAAGTTAAAAAAAAAAAAATAATGTATTTAGATATTATATATTTTAAGAAGATCTAAGCTATTCTAAATAAATAGATTTATAATAAGCTAACTAGCTTAAGTAGTTAAATATTGTAATGATATTAAGTTAGATCTATATAAATTAATGAATAGAGTGTTTAAATAAGTAACTTATAAGTAGATTATAGATATAGCAGCATAGTGTAAAACTAACCAGATAGTCTAACATCTGTATAGCAAACTACTTAAAATAGATAATAACTAAAATTGTATATATAGCTTGTTGTATACTCTTCATATAATTACAAACAGTAGAGATTATAAATATATTATCCTGTTTGCAATACTAATAAAATTTCTTTAGTAATATAAATCACCTTTAACAAAAAAAAAAAAAAAAACAATTATAAACCTAATACTAAAAACTAGAAAAACAAACACTAACTAGCAAAATTTCTACAACTACATAAATTACAAATATATATTTATAACAAGAAAAACAAACTCTAAATATTTTAGACTTAAAGTATTTAAGTTGAAACTACTTCTAAAAAAACTATTTACAATGAAAATATTATATACTAGAGATTTTAAACAACACAAAGACTTAAAATTTACTTGATGCAATAAAGAAACAGAAAGCAACTACCACACACTTATATGTAACAAGAATACAGAAAAACCAAAAGAATTAATAGAAGATGTAGTAACAAAAATATTAACAAAAAAATCATATATATACAAATTCATCAAAATCTCTTAAATATATTTGTATTACTAAATCTTACAAGAATTATACTAGAAATACTACTACTACAAGTTACTAAAAACATAAAAAGAATTACTGAAGTATCAAGATCTCGCCTCCAGATGTCAGCAAACACATAATACAGCTACAACATCTAACAAAAACCAATACAAAAATCTAATAAAAACTGAAAAAACAGTAACTTCACCAATGAAAATAAACAATATCGAAGACTAGGCGGGAACTTTGATCCTACTTAGCAAAGTATGGGTCGTGGGTAAACTAGCCAAAGTTTTAGTTTTTAGAAAGGAAATATAAAACAAACATGTAATAATGTATCAACTATATTTTCGATTAATAAAGAAACTTAGGCAAGACTTCGCTAATTTTTTTACAAAATCCTACCCGGTTATTAAAACATATATAGAATTTTTTTTGAAAGTCTTCAAACTTTGAGTTATGAAAACCAATTTATTAATTTTATATGGCCTAAATTAATTTTTTTTAATATAGATAAAAACATTTTTTTTGAATAAATTAAAAATGTTTTCTTGCTTTGATCTAAACATATTAAATATTTCTTTACTTAACTCTAAAATACTGTATATGTTTTGCTTTAGCCTTAAACCATTTTGTAAACTTTTTTTTTACTTTGATTCTAATTTTTCTTTTTTTTTTTTTTTTTTTTTTTTTTGATTTAAAATTTAAAATATATTTTTTATTTGAATTTGAAACATTCTAATTTGAATTGGGAGATTCCTTCGATTTGACCTAAAAACATCGTCTTTATAATTGTGTTGGTTCTATTAATAATGTTGTATTAAACTGCTTTTTTTCAGGTTCGATCATGATTGTAGAGTAAATAAATTTTCGTTTTTATAAATAAATTTTTTAATATTTGTGAAGTAACCCGAAAATAAGCACCTTTATAACAAAAAAGGGGTCCAATTTTCGAAAGAATATAATCTTAAGAATTCAACAATTTTTTAGTCCAATCTCTACTATCCGTACACAAACCCATTAAAAAAGCTGAGTTTCCAAGAACTTCAAAGTTAATTTCTTTACTAATTTGATCACCAACGTCTAAAGTTGCATTAAATAATGTAAGCGAGCTCCATAATGTCGTTAAGTTTCTAATTTGATAAATGTGTAAGCAATTAATTGTAATAAATAAAACAAAATAATAAAAAACTTACTCCCTTGGGACTCTAATTATTCCAACATACTCTTCACCTTGACGGTCATCGCCACTCCAATATAAAATATCAACGTGAACACCAGATCCAATGACTCCAAATACATCTGATAATGATTTACTTATCAGTGAGCGAAGTGCCAGCGATGTTATAATCGGTAATGGATCGGCTGGTGGGTCAAAATTACTATGATGAAAAGAATAAATCGCAAGATTATTCAGATCGAAGATTCAAAAACGTTAAATTAATTGTATTTACATTTTTATCTTTAGATAATGCCATTCTGAAGTTGTAATCGTGTATCTTGCATATTTCGAAGCCATTGGTGAGATTAAGCAGTAAATATTCCTTCTATTTGCTTAAGAAGGTAGGTTATATAATTTTGCCAATGCTTAGATGCCAATCGCTTATCACATGACTTGTCCCTAAAGGTTACACAACAAATTCGGCAGTGCTGGCCAAATTTAGTCTTAATGCTGGCCTGCTTTAATAACATAATAAATGATCGTCAATATATGATCTACATATTACATAAATTGTATTCTTGATTTATATAAAAAAAAAACAACATAAATGCATCAAAAAAAGTAACCATAACCCTAGCTAAATCTCACTATGGTAAAGTAATGGGCAGAAATCAGGTGATTCGATTTATTATAGCGACGCAAAAGTTTCTGTACTCAAACGTTCTTGATGCACTTTTAGTAAAATATTTCAATAACTACTTGACCAAATTTGATGAATTTTTTTTTGTTTTAATTCTATGGATATATGGAATTCAAATAAAAAAAAATTCATCGATTTTGATTGGGCGGTTGTTGAGATATCTTCGCTCAAAGTTAGTAAACAGTCTATTAAAATAAGTGCGCCAAATTTTTTCCAAAACTTTGAACGAAGATATCTCAATAACTACTCGACTGATTTTTTTTTTTTTTTTTTGATTTAATTCTATATATGGGGGGCCCCACAGCAAAAGGTGGCTTTGGGATGTTTTAAAACTTGATCTTTAAATAAATATATCTTAAGATCTAAAAATTGGAAACAAATAATTTTTATATTATTTAATTCCTCTCAATGAAAGGAATTAAATAATATAAAAATTATTTGTTTCCAATTTCTAGAACTTAAGATATATTTATTTAAAGATCAAATTTTAAAACATCCCAAAGCCACCTTTTGCTGTGGGACCCCCCATATAATAGAATTCAAATAAAAAAAATTTCATCGATTTTGGTCAGACGGTTGTTGAAATATTCTCAAAGTTTTGTAAAAAATTTGGCACGAATTGATATTTTGAATTTGTTTACTAACTTTGAGCGAAGATATCTCAACAACTGCCTGACCAAAATCGATAAAATTTTTTTTATTTGAATTCCATATATTTGTAGAATTAAACCAAAGAAAAATTCATCGAATTTGGTCGAGTAGTTATTGAGATATCTTCGTTCAAAGTTTTTAGAAAAAATTTGGCGCACTCACTTTAATAGACGTTTTGAATTTGTTTACTAACTTTGGGCGAAGATATCTCAACAATCTCCCGATAAAAATTGATGAATTTTTTTTTTATTTGAATTCCATATATCAACAGAATTAAAACAAAAAAAAAAAATTCATCGAATTTGTCAAGTAGTTATTGAGATATCTTCGCCCAAAGTTCAAAAATATTTTACTAAAAGTGCATCAAGAACGTAATCAAATTTTGAGCACATCGTAGATCTATCAAAAATGTAACCGCTGACCTATCAATTTTGAAACTTTTGCTATAGTGACCTACCCCCCCCTCACCTGACTAGTTATCTTATCAAATTATATTCCATTACAACCTGACTAAACCGCTATACCCATTCCCCAAGTTACCGGTAAGTTACCACAAGTTACCAACGAAGTAACTTATATTTTATTTCGAAAGTCTTCGTATTAAATGTTCGTTCATTGTCTACCATAACGAAATCTTCCGATAATGGCAACACTTTTCAAGCACCAAAATTCATGGTAACTTACCGGCAACTTATCGCGATAACTTACCACCACTAACAACCTGCGCACAGTACGTACGCGGCATATCACTAGTCATATCGTGAACAAATAAGTAAATTGAGTCTAATCATTTACAGAAAGCGAGGGAAATCAGGAAACTTAAATTTTATAATAGGTGAAGGAGGAAGAAATTATTAATATTGGTATATCTAGCGAATTACGTTTCTGCATATTAATTTATTGAAAGCGATGTCAGGTGGTATTTCTCTTTAAGTTTTCTGGAAATTTTCCAATTTTACACACATTGTTAATTACTGTAAACATCCGGATGGAAGCGATGAAAGTTCATCACTACTGTATCACGAATGGTTGGTTTAAAAATATTGGTATCTTATAGGATATTAAGGAATGAAAATTTGACTGATTTATGTTTTACTTGTAATAATAATACCTGATCATGGGGTATTATAGTGTTGTTAAATAACCTAAAATTAATAAAATAACATGTATAATTTCTTCCAGATTCAGTTAAGAAAATCCAATGCCTTGATTCAACAAAATCTAATTTAACATGTTTTATTGCTCATAATGGTTATTTGATTAGTTATGGTTATTTTTTGTCAATATGAAAGCTAAATTAACAATATATTTCAGAAAATGTGTCATAGTAGTTCCACTTTAGGATTAAAGAGACGACAAACCTAACGCTAATTGTCGATTTAAAAGACACAGTACTCGTAGAGATACAGGATAATTTTCGGGTTTATTATGTAGGTATAAATTTAATTTATGTAATAATATCTAGAACAGTGAGTTTAAATTCTTGATGGGATATGGTTGATGATGATAATTTAAAGATAATTACATAAAACAGAAGTTTGCTGTATTGCAATAGCTATTTTAACTGATTCAACAAACACATCTGCTAACAATGTAGTTATAAACTCCAAATTTTTTACGATCTATTTTACCTGGCTGAGAATATTTCGCAATTGCTCTATATCAATCCAAAACTAGCGATCACTAATTAGATTTTTTTTATAGCATTGGTATGATCAAAAATTTGAAGCTCTTGTTCTAAAACCTAGTAGAAATATATTATTTAAAATGACTATTAAATATGCAAAAAAAGTATGCTTATCTTTTGTTCTTTTAAAGGAATATACTTAGCATAAATACAATTATTATTTATACAATGAAGTATACAAAACAATATAAATACAAAAATCTGTTAAGTGAATATTTAATTTTTCACTGTAGTAGAGATTAGAACTGTTATTTGTTTAATTGCATTTAACTAGTTATTTATATTATATGATTAAATAAATAAGAGTTTTAATAAATAATTAAAAATCATTAAATTATTCTTTTAATTATCTTAAAATTTTATGATTAATTATTAATATCTGTGATCTGATTAGCAGTTAGCGATTCTGAATAATAGTAAAAAAAATTAGCTTAGTTAATTTTTTTCAAAATCAGCTAATTGATTTTATTATAGCTGTTTTATTCTAACTAGTAGAGATGTTAAAAATCTGATATAGTCTAACTTGACTCTAAAAGTCAAGTATTTGTAAAAGCTCTGTCTAAAGTTAAGTTTAGAACTTAACTTATATCTGCATATATATAAAATGCAATATCTATATTATGCATGCAAAGTTGTGCTAATTAATAATTAATATCTAATTAAACATATGATGATTTGAAACTTAGCCTCAGTCTTCTAGAGTAAAGATGTAAAAAGTCTAGTCTGGTTTGAGTTTTAAGAAATCTATATCAAAATTGGAACGGTCGATTGTCGTAGTTGATAAGCCTTTCCAAAAATTTGAAAGGAATTCATCATAAAACTTTGGATCGGTATTTATAAGCTGATTTATATAATTAAAACCATATTTATATTAACTTTGAATGATTGAATATAAATATGACAGAAGTGAAAAAGAATTTCTACCTCTTGTGGAAGAAGGCTAACTAAAATCAAAATACTCGGGGTATGAGATAGATACTGATCCATTATACGCCAATCGAAAGAAATTATACAATTCGGAAGCATTGGCTTCTTTTTACTGGCCAGTAGCCAGGACTCAGGAAAACCTTCATTTAAAATAAGATAAAATTGGTAAAAATTCATTATTAACTGTCATTAAGGCCTGTTTAAATTATTCAGATATTTAAGTAAAAAAAGCTGCTCACTCTTAGTGAATACTAATAAAGAGTCCCATAAATCGCCACAAACGGAGATTTCTTTATTAAATATTTTCATTAAATATGTTGAGCTAAAAACATCTAAATGACCTTCACTCTTTTCTTTTAAATATAAATAAAATAGAGATTAAAATCTGTAATTACAAGAGATATGTATCGAAATAAAAATATAAGTTTTTTTGATCTCTTGCAGTTAATAATAGGTTGATAATACATTTTATTAGTAGATTGCAAGAGATTCTGTAAAAAGCTCTTACTTGGCTACTTGTTAGTCAAAACCTTTATCAAATTATAGCATTATTTACGAACAAGCGGATTTTTATTGGTTAAATTTAACCAAGTTTTTTGATTATCAAATAAATCATCATATTATTGTGCAGCTTTTAACAATGAATCTTCATTTAACTGGTTTACAATTAAAGAAGAACGTAAAAATTTTAAAAGTAAATAAATTTTTAAAATATGTAGAACAATAAATTACAAAGACTTATAAGGACCTATCAGGTACGCAAGAGAGTAATATAAACTTCAACAACTCTATCATATTTTGATTCATATCTTCTATTGATATAAATCTAGGATCACCTTTAATTTAGCACTAAAGTTGGATCCAAGTTGACATCGGCCATTTTATCGGCTGAAGTATCAGTTGAAAAAGTATATCCACCCAAAAATTGAGCGAAACCTCCCAAATTCACGATGGGAACCTGAGATCCACCTGTTGCAATAATTTCAGCGGCTCGACTAAAAATATAATAAAAATTGATTTTATTATTATTATTTTTTTTTATACATACCTGCTGCTAGCTGGTTGCACATTTACTTTGATACGAGGTTGATTTTTTGGTTTTCCCATGTTTCGAAGAAAATAAAATTGACCCTACTACGCCAATGCCATCTTGACATTTTACACGTGATCGATAATCATCAAAAAAATGGAATTTATAATCGGAAACTTGAATCGGGAAGTAATTATTATTTTTTTATCTTGTATATAATGATATCAGATATCGATATAATTGCTGCCAATAACGAGAAATATATTATTAACATATACCGGTAACTTCCCAAAAAAAAGAATTATTTTTTTTAATATTTTCTTATAACGATAAGCTAGAGTTGTTTGCGTTGAATTGTTTGAATTTTACTATATAACGATAAAAATCAAACTATTTAATTTTCTAATTCGGTCAAATGGTTTAAAATTTCTAATTATATTCAATATTAATTAATTCCGTTATATAAATATCATATGTACTTAAACTTTCATTATTTATTTAAAATATATTATCGATAAATGGTTAATTTTACAAATTATTTACATAATCAAAATTTCGAATTACTTTTTATTCAATGAAAAAACTTTGGTTAAAAAAATCTTTATTACTCGAATAAACCTTAAAAATTTACATAGTGTACAAAAATCGTATAAACCCGACAAAATATAATCTTTGAGACCAAAACTATTTAATGATTACTAATAAGTCGAAGACGAAAGTAAACCTTTAACCTAGTATAAAAAAAAAAAAAAGTAGATAAGTAATTGAAATGACCTATAATACTATAATACCCCAGAATAGCGCATGTCAACAGTCAGTAGCGGAGGAATATTCAAACGCAACATTCTTAAATATTAATTCTTCACCTCTCTCAGTAACCACGTGTATTTACTGAGTGCTGCTACCGACGAGCGTAACCCAGAAGCCTAGGAGCGATACCTGAGGATTTTTGTTAAATATAATAATATGAGATCAATTACTTATGAATAAAAAAATACTCATCTATTAAATGAAATCAATATTCCGGCCTCAAATGGTCTTATCGTCGTAGTCTATAAATTCATTATTTAAAAAAAAAAAAAAAACTTCAAAGTTTATTTAGTATACCTAGATTACAAAACCAATAAAAATATAATCATTCCTGAATAAGTCTCATAATACTCTTCGAAATTATTAAAAATTGCTGTTAATAAGTCGAAAAACGAAAATAAACCTTTATTAATAGAAGACGAAGAACAAAATATTCGCGTTAGTGTTATTAAAAAAAAGAAAAATTAAATGTTTTTAAAAACAGAAACAAATAAAATAAAATTATTATTATTATTATTAAGAGATTAAGGTAAAAAATATAAGTCTGAAAAAAAAAGAAGCGATTTTTATTTTTAAATACTTATTGTGAGAGACTATATGCGTAAGTGATGTAAAAAATTTTAACTATTTTGGTATAACACAATGAAGAAGCATATATGATCATCACATTCTGTGTAACATGTTTTATTACACGCAGGGGTGATTGGTTGATCACATGAAATTGAATAATATTTTATTATTGCAGTATTGGCTATTTGTATAACATGTGACAATTATAGATGCCTGACGAAACTATTTTTGCTGTTGACGAATTGACGAAACCATAGGTTTCGCCAGTGACGAATTGACGAAACTATGGTTTCGTCAGGTCACGTGAGTTTCGTCAGGCATCATTAGTGACAATCAACCTATCGTTACTAAATAAAAATCAAGGTTATTTATTAAAGTAAAAATTTTACAATTATTTATCGTTATTCTAAGTTTTATAGATATCAAAATGTTAGGTTATTCAATTCCAAGGATAAAAGCTTTCCAATTAAAAGCAAAAACTAGTATAGTTTTCAAACAAAACTCGATAACATGGATCACTTATAATGATACTTTAATTCGACAGAAATTATCTTTTTCATCATTATCACTTATTTCTCGATCTTCTAAACTTAAAACTAACATAATTTCAAATGTAAAAGTTGATATACCACGAGTTAAATTCGATTTTATAAAGCATGAGATCAAATTTTTTCAGTATCGCGGTCTTATTAACGAAGCTGTTGTTATTGATCATAATAATAATACTGAGCAAATTGTTAACAATATGATGCGCCGTTCTAAAAAAATTACACCTGAGATTGAAGAACTTCGAAGAAAACGTCAAAAGTTTTATGATGAGCATTTAAATATAGATCATGTTTCTTTGGAATTAAACATTTTTTATGTTTAAATTTTTTTTTTTTTTTTTTTGTTTAGATTTTCCTGCATGGCTTGATGGTCTTGGATTAAAATTTCTCGCACCATATTTTAAAACAAAGAAATGGCAAGAAATTATCGAAATGTATATATTTGTTCGAAATCAAAAAAAAAAAAAAAAAAAAAAAAAAAATTCAAAATAATATAAAAGTAATTGTGACTGCTAAATTATATATTTAGGAGTGCTGAAGATTTAGAAAATTTGGGTATTCGAACGCAAAAAATTCAAAATATATTATTGGTAAATTTTTGGTATGTTAAGAATTATATTGTAAGTTATCAATTATATTTTTTATTTTATATAATTAGTCTTCTTTTTTAAATATTCATTATTATAATGGTTAATTATTTTTTAGGCTTCTCAAAAGGGGATCAAATTACCATTATCAAGACAGATGGAAATGTTAACACATAGAAAAGAATATTATGAAAATAATTATGATAAAATTATAAATTATGAATTATTAGATGGTGTGGTTTAGTAATATATATAGTATAACGTTAAAGAACTTAAATATCTAATTTATTATGTTTTTAGATTTTCCTGCATGGCTTGAAGGACTTGGTTTAAAACATCTGGCACGTTATTTTAAAGGAAAAAAATGGGAAGAAATAATAGGTATCTTTAAGAAATAAATGTAACCTTTTTATCTATTGCATTTTAGTAGCCCATCCATTCGGTTGAGCTGAGTTTATATCGTTATATTAATCAATAGAAATGGATTGGCAGGCTTTAGAAGTATTAGGCATTGAATCTCGACAAATCCGGGCTAAATTGGTTGGTCATTTTTGGAAAGTTAAAAGAGATATTGTAGGTTATTCCATTAAGATTTGATTTTACTACTATTATATATTTGTTAGATGTTAATTTAATTTGCACTTACTTCTTTCTTAAGGCTGCTAAAAAAGGAATAACCTTACCAGAAAAAGAAAAAAAGGGAAGACGAGAGCTGATTGTGGAAGAGAAGAAAATTATTGCTCAGCGCGAAAAATTCTATGAAGATAATTATATTAATATCAATTATAAATTATTGGAAGGTATTACAATTAGATAGTAGATTCCTTAATGCACGCACACGGATTATATCCAATCAGATAGTATTCAAATCAGTATTTCAAATCTTTACTAATATGTTAATTAATGGTTTGATAGATTTTCCTGCATGGCTTGATGGGCTTGATTTGAAATATCTTACTTTGTTGTTCGAAGAAAAACCTTGGAATGAAATCATCAATTTGGATTCTCAGAATTTGATGGATATTGGTGTTAATTATTTTACACCCAGAGACAAATTGCTTACTTGTTTTTGGTTTATCAAGCGTGATCTTGTAAGTTTTAAATTATTTGAAATGAATAATTATAAATTTCATACTTATTTGACTAATGTTTAAACTTATGTGAATAATAATAAGGCAATAAAGCATGGTACAGAGTTGCCATCAATCGAATTAGTTAAACACCGAAGATTTTTAAAGATCGACTCGATGCTGGATCAATCCCACCAGAAATAATAGCAGAGGTTTAGGAAAAAAGTACCATATAAAATGTTGATTATGTTTTTAGCTGTGACTTGGTGATGTTTGATTTTTTAAGCGGAACGATTTATCAATAAAGACTTTTTTTATCATTAGGACTAGGAAACGGGAACCGGAGCCTAGATTTAAACTATTTTTTTTTTTTTTTTTAGACCTTTGTTTTTTGAGTTCAATATACTCTTTTATGAGTAACTTATCTTTATGTCCATTTAATTCGAAAAGTTAGGTGATGTTGCTTGGTGATTTAAAGTAAATTTGTATTCCACAAATTTGGACCCAACGTATAGAGCAATCCTAGTATCATCCACAAAAAATATAGCTGATGTAGATTTTTAGATCTCAAGAATTCAACCATAGATGTGAACCGGCTATCTCATAGATATTGAAAAAACATTCCTACAAATTGCAATTCGATTGAATTTTTGAAAATGATTATAAAGAAACAAGTTTAAATAGTTTTGTGATATGCTTGAAGAAATAAGAATCGTATTTTTTTTTTAGATAATTATTATTAATTTATTTATAATTTGTATTATTATTTGTTAAAAAAACGATTCCAAATAAATCACAAACCTAATTAAAATCTTTGACTAAAATCGATTCATTTTAAAATTTAAAGCTTTAAAAAATATGGTAAAGATATTGAAAACTCGAAAATTGCAAAAATATACTTTGTACTTAGATGGAATTTCAACGTTGATTTATTTATCATAATAGATCAAGTACATATAGCAAAAAGAAACACAAATAAACAAAATTACATATCAGTATAACTGGAAATTTCTCTAATTAATCTTAATATATTTGTTTTTATTATCAACGTACTGGATTAATAATCATATGCAAGTTAGTCATTGAACAGTCATTCAATGTCCAGGCCACACCACGAGGAGGTTTGCATTTGTGACCCAAAAGGAGTTTAAACTGGGAACGTTAAT